CCCTCCGACAAGGACAGAAACAAATGGTACAGGGACGGGGTCACAAAGGCACCCCCACCCCCCTGAATTAATTTACCTACCTCAGAGTCCTTTCAGGGGGGAGGAGCGGGGAGGGGGCGGCCCTGGAATGCTGCTTGGGGGGGGGGGATGGCCACAACACGACAGGCCTTTGCCTGCCCACAGCCTCTTTGTGTCTCTCACACAATGGAGGAGTGGAGCCGTCCTGGGACAGGCCTCTTGCAAATGCTAATTGCATTGTCGCCTTGCCTTCCATCCCATACAGGGAGGCAGGCCAATGCCATGTCAGAGACTGGCATCGAAGACCCCAGGCAAGCGCAGGGGGAGGGCAAGGAGACTGGCTGAGCAGGACCTTACACAGCCTCTGAGCAGACACCCCTGCCCCCTCCAAGCAGCTCTGCTTCCGCTGCTTTAGAGGCCGACGGGCAACCTGGGGGCACCTGAGGTTCCAGATATCCCCCCGTTTCAGCCTCTTCCTCGGGGAGTTCCACAGATGTTCCCAAGCACAAGGTTGCCCAATACCAAAATATTTATCCAGATTTTTCAATGGACGCTGCAAAAAGTCTCTCTTAGTGAGCTCAAAGCTTCCTCCAAAGTGGACCTCTGTTGGAGGAAGACGGAGCACTTATTCAAAACAGGATTAAAGGAGTCCTCCCTCTTAAAACTTTTGTATAATTAAGGACTGGTATTAATAAAGGGGTTGTGCAACATCTTTTGTGATATGTTAAGAGACGGTAGATGTTTTGTATTAAGGCTTATATGATAAATAATATATGGTGAATAAATTGTAAAAATATAATACAAAAACTATATTGTATTGTCATATTTGAGATATTTTATAATCGTCTGTAGCACGGTAATTGCTGATTTTTGGTACTTCCTACTTACCATGGGTCCTGTTTTGGTTTTGAGGAAAAGACTGGAAGCTCGGCATGTCCCGAAGGCCGAGGGAGGGAGGGAGCCCCGCCTGGCTACGGACAGGTGCCGCCCTCCCTCCCTCCCTCCTCCTGGAAACAAGGTCCCTGGGCAGACCCACCCGTTCTTCAGATGTGTTGAACAACTATTTGCTGACTTTCCTTATGGCATCTTCTTGTCTTATGCTCCTGTGTTTGTCTGTTTTAAATAGGTTTCTGAGTGCAGCTTCACTGTTACTTTTAACAGCCATTAAGCTACCTAGTGGCCCTGTGCCTTCTAGGGGCGGCATCTAAACACCCTTCCCGCTTTTGCAGAGGCAGAGCCAGACGTTCACATGATGCAAGGACACGGTGAAGACTGAAAAGCCCCGCTCCCCTCCCCCCATTCCTTTCCACCCAGCCGGCTTCAGCAATCGACTGGCAAATGCACGGGTTGGTTTGATGGATGAAACGCTGGGTAATGCACGATCGTTTCTGTTTGAACAAATCATAAGGTAATTAAAGTAATTTTGTTTTAATACAGTTTGAAGTAAAACGTAGCCAGACAGCCGCGCTCAACACACCGGCTTCAGACAATTGAAAGCACAGATCCGTTTCCTCGGCACTCTGAGACCACTCCGAGGTGAAACACCCCCCCGGGGTTCTACCAAACGCGACTCCTTCCCTCTTGGCTGGTGAAGGGGCTGAAGGAAGGATCCACTGCGGCTTGTTTGCCGAACTTCCTTTGCTTCCTCCACGTATGAAAAAGGGGGGGGGGAAGCCACCCAAAGGACGAGGGAGGGGTGGGAGACCCGGAGGGGCAACTGGAGTGCCTGTCGCAGGCAGGGGAGAGAAAACAAAGGGGCAGCTTCCACTGAGCTCCTTCAACCACCACTTCAAACCACCGGCAGATGCAGGGACCGAAGCAGGGCAGGGCCTTCTGCACCTCCAGGGAGAGGCTTTAGGCCGGCGGCCGGTGAGGGGGTCCCCGCAAGAGGGCGCGTGCTCTGGCAGGCCAGCTTAGCAATGCTTCAGCCCCGCCCCGCAGGACCCTGTCTGAGAGCCAAGGGCAGGGACTGTGAATTGTGGGTGCCTCCTCCCAGCAGCCCAAATGGCTGGCCCGCTCGCGCGTACATGGCGCACTCGACAACAACGGGCTCTGGGAAGGAGGAAGGGCACACAGAGGCCCTCCTCCAGTTCCCCAGAGAAAAAGGACAGGAGCGGTCTGGTGTTCAAAACCTGTATTTATTTTTCATTTTCCTTCAATGACATCTGCATTCAATAAATAACTTCCATGGGACACGTCATGCTAAGTTTCAGATCGGCAGTCGAGAAGTGATACCCAAAAGGTGCAGCAGGGAGCAAAATGAAGAAGGCAGACAAACACCGGACCGCTGGGAAGGAAGGCCTCACGCAGCGCCAGCGGCTCACGGCGACACTTTGCGACACCGCGACACTTCCTCTCTGTGCAAAAGAGCTCCTGGCCCAGCAGACCCCACAAGGCCGGAGTCGACCGCAGGGCAATCTTGCAGCGAGGATTCCCAGCAGGACTGCTCCGGTTCCTGGCCACATCCGCCATCCAGGGGCTGGGCTTCCCACGCCACGGCAGCTCAGCTGGGATGCTGGGAAATGAGGATTATTTCCCCCGTTTTGTCTCTCTCTCTTTTTATCACGAGAACAGCCTGCCCTGTGCCTGACACCTGGATGGAGATTTAAGAGGGCAGAATGTGGGGAGGGGGACACCAGCATCTTACTCCGTACACCGTGCAGGAAGTGGAAGGAAAGAGCTCGATCCTGTCACCCACTGTAGCAGTGGGGCCCCATCCACCATGGAATGGCTGCAGCACAAGCGCCTTTGGAACGAAGGGGAACTGAAGCGCAAAGACCTGCCTCAGGAGATGCCTGTACCACAAAACGAGAGAGACGGTGGCTGCAGGGGAAACGGACCTGGAAACAGCGGACCAGCAATAACTCATCCAGCAGGTCCCTACAGAGAGGTCTCTCTATCCAGAGCTTCTGTTAGGGGAGTGAAGGTGGGGGGGACCTTGACGGACACACAGACAGAACCACCTCGCCTGCTTGCAGTGGGGCCCTCCCTGCCTTTGTGTGCAGGCTTGACTCCTGGTGCTCTTTCGAGGGAGGGCGTGTCCCCACAAGCCCTTCATGGGCTGGGTGTGTTTATAAGACAGGAGGAGGGGACTCCTCCCACTATACCGCCCCCAATCCACAGACACACCTCCCGAAAAAGTCCAGGGAGAAAAGAAAAGACGCACTGACGGCTGCACCTCACTTGGGGCTGCTGCAAAATGTCTGGAAGGGGCGGCGACATTCAGTGGCTCCGCCCAGGCAAACCATTTGTGTGCTAGGGAAGGAGGCATTTCCCCCTGCAGATCAGGTCTGGCCCAAAAGCACCCCGTGGTGATGGGAAGACAGAGAGGAGGCCCCAGGCACAGGGGGGAGGATTAGCTCATGAGGAAGGGGGGGGCAATTTGGCACTGCCCTCCCCCCGCACATGGGCTCTTCCCCCGCACACGGGGCCCTCTTGCTCCAGAAGTCATGGGTGTGTGTGTGTGTGTCTGGACAGAGAACGAACAGGTTGAGCCCTGAAGAAAAACAACAACAACCCAAAGACAAGCTCTTCTTTAAGTCTGCCCGAGGGGATCCAAAAGCTGCTGCTGCAGCAGCACAACCCTTATTCCAGAACCGACTGCCCCCAAGGCTTTCCCTTTGGGCCAGGGAATCGGGAAGGATCTCCCCCGCCCCGCCCCTGCTGCAACTCTAGAAACAGATGCACTGAAA